TGTAGTACTGGCACAGGCCACAGTGTGACAACATTACATTGCATTCAAATTTTAATTGCCTTAACTATTCATGGTGACTTCCTTTGATCTGCATTACTAGGGTTTAAAAATCCCTTGTTAGACATCTACAGTTTTATTTCTGCTTTGTTTGCGAAATAAGCACCTGTGCTCATTTCCAATACCTTGGGTTTGTTTTTTTTTGTTTTGGCTCTTATCCCACACCTTTTTTTTCTTTTTTTTCTTTTTTTTTTTTTTTTAAAGAAGTTGCAGTTTCCGAGAGGCAGCTGGAGTAAAACAAAGGTGTCTGTCAGCCACAGATCTGTGTAGTCTGAGTAGCTTGTGTCTTAACTGTAGTGATAGAACAGGGGGACTGTAGTGATAGGACAAGAGGTAACAAGTTCAAACTTAGACAGGGGAAGTTTAGATTGGATATAAGGAAGAAGTTCTTTACTGTGAGGTTGGTGAGGCACTGGAATGGGCTGCCCAGGGAAGTTGTGAATTTTCCATACCTGGCGGTGTTCAAGGCCAGGTTGGACAGAGCCTTGGGTGAAACGGTTTAGTGTGAGGTGTTCCTGCCCATGGCAGGGAGGTTGGCACGTGATGATCTTAAGGTCTTTTCCAACCATAACTATTCTATGATTCTATGATTTAATTCTGGAGCATTTTCTGACCTAATTGGGACTTGCAGTCTTTGTTGGGTGAAGACGAATTCCCATGTTCATTTAACCCTTGGCTCTCTTCATAGAAGAGAAGAAATCCTCATGGAAGGTTTACATAAAATATTTTCAACTGTCTTTAGCTTTCATTTTAATTAATTACATAATTGTAACATCAAAAAGCCACCATTTTCTCTTCACAAGCAACAGACACAGCTTTTAACCACAACATTCTTAGGAAAACAATGCCTTAAGTGTTGCTTTTTCAAATAAAACTAGTCAGAGGGCCTCAATTCTGTCTGATGGTAACTCTTGAGGATTGGAAAATGTAATTTCATACTGAAACATTTAAATTTAACAGCCCTGTTTCAGCCCATCTGTCTGAGGTAGCTTGTGACTCAAGTTTTCCCCTCTCTCAATTCAAAATATCTGGAGCACCCTAATTTCATAAACTTTCTACTTAGAGAAATCAGAATTAACATATCTATTGAAAACTTACATTTAGTCTTCCCATGTCTTAAGTAGTTCAATTTTCTTTCTCGGCTACAGTGACAAATTTAGATCAATGTGGGGCATTTGCCAAAATTATTCCTGCTTCTCTCTGTCTGTATTTCTACAGCTGGGTGTAAGGCTTTGCTCCCCTCTTACCTCCTTTCATCAAATGGCCTGTGTCTTCCTCTCCCAACAAATTTTCAGCAGCAGTATGTGCACAAGGGCTGACTCAGGGATGATTTCTTGTTACATGGGTGTAACATCTTGAGCTATGTACTTTACTGTACTTGAACTATTTGAACCCAGCCATTGATCGACTGGGTCATACACTTAAAAAGCTTTATTTGAACTGAATCTGTGCCTCTCTACCAAGGCAACGTCACATATCAGTATCTGAATTTTGGGAACGCTGCTGTGCTGTTGACTTCAACCTGGGCATGCTTTCTCTTAGGTGGTGCCAACGCTGCGGACCATGTGGCAGCATGGCCATCAGGTTATAGTCTCATATGAAGAGGATGTGGAAGTGGAAGAGCACTGTGAGTTGTGGCCTGCAATCCCATACTGGTGGGGAAACAAAACTACCACTCGCTCTCTTATCCGGTTTTTAGAGCGCATGAAGCGGATGGGCCGCCCAGGTAGGCACAGAGTTGCTTATAGGAAATAAGGGGCATGTACAGCAACACAAATAGGAAGTTGGGTAATCATAGCATTATGGGCAATAACCACTTTTTGTGCATGCTGTGTGCATGAGATGTGTCCATGTTGCTGAGTCCTCTGCCTACCCATGAGTGAGTGTGATGTTCATCTTGGGTAGTGCAAATCATAGAACCAGAATGGTTTGGGTTGGAAGGGACCTTAAAGCTCATCCAGTTCCAACCCCATGTCATGGGCAGGGACACCTTCCACTAGACCAGGCTGCCCAAAGCCACATCCAACCCGGCTTTGAACGCTACCAGGGATGGGGTAGCCACAGCTTCTCTGGGCAACGTGTGCCAGTGTCTCACCACCCTCTCAGTGAAGAATTTCTTCCTTGTATCTAGTCTACCCTGTTTCAGTTTAATGGCATTGCATACATGCATCAGTGTATGTACATGTAATTGTAGCAGCTGCTTGCATGACTGTGTGAAAAGAAGCTCTTAGCACAGACCAGCTCACTGGTGCAGACATGCCTATCTCATGAGTAGAAAGCTGCTTCCTCGGTCCGGTGCTTGCTGCTTTAGGCAGTGTTGATGAGGGAAAAGCATGAAGGTAGCCTTATTCCGGAAAGAACCCCCTAGAAGAATGGCAAGGCTGTAGCTACAATAGGAATTAACAGTGCTCAAGCATGCTGGGGTAGTCTAAGCTGAAATAAATCCAGTTTGTAACCTTTGATGCAACTCTGTGATGTGAACACATGGAATGATGGAGAGGAGAACTGCTTCACAGCCACATGTCCCAGCCAAAGCAAAAAGCTTGTGTAGGTGCACCCATGTTCCCATCCCTCAGGGGAAGGCTAAGCATTTGGAAGAACCCTTACAGAAACAAACTTGAATTTACAAAGGAAGATAAGTCAACGGAGAACCTTTAGTCAGCAATGATTAACCTGGATAAATTTAGCTAAACTGGAATGGCTCAGTAACCCAGCTTGCTTCAGTAACTGTTTACTACAGTTGCAATAAGGGGAGGCAATCTACTGAAACAGTTTTAGGGATATGAAACAACACAGAATGTGAATTTACTATTTTAATGATAGCCAGAGGAACAAGATTTGGAGTTAATGCAATGTCAAGTGGTTTCTGTTCTCCTCAAACAAATATCTAATGTGTCACCTTCTGATATTTTTGTTTCAGAAAAATTCTTTGTAGCAGGGATTAACCTTACTGAAAATTTAAGGTATATTCTCCAACATCCATTTGGATCACTGAAGAAAATGACACTCCAGAGTCTTCCATGCTTGAAAATATGGATAAAGCAGCAATACCCAGGACCACAAAAGGAATGTATTAACATCATTGCTGGAGACTTCATAGGAAACGATGATTTTGTCAAAGATGTGATAGAACTTAACACAAAAATTAATCCTTCATTAACCTGTCAAAGAAAAGGGGCTGGAACAAGTAGCAGTTGATTCTCAGTTTCTCTGTGAAAGCTGAAAAGGCTTTGTCTGCATTTAAAGTGTCCTGGTTCAAACAGGTCCAGTTACCTTAAACCAGGGACGTCGTAAAGGCTCAGTAAGAAAAGCATTCCTACTATCACCAAGGGTTCAAGGCTTTTTCACAGAAAAGAGAGCAGGCAGACCTTGTTGAAGTCACTAGAGGACTATGGTAGAGGTATAATTTACTCAGAGGTGCTTAGATTCTGTAGCAGCTGGCAATACCGAAAGCCCCAGGAACTTAATCTTATTTTATTTACCTATGAACAAAGAAGAGAAGTATTTCAGCAGCTGCATGAATTATTTTGTGATATGATTTTATCTTTCTTATAAAGATATTCTGCACTACTTGCAACCCAAACTCTCAGTCTTTTATGTCAGTGTGAAACTGACTTGTCTATTTTCATAGTTTGTGAAAAATATACAAAAGGAACAGTTTAAAAATATTTTTGATTTATCAAAGATGTTGTATTGACTGTCCTGGTTGACATATTTTTATATAGAGACCATTGGAAATCTAGAGGCTGTTGTTTTGTGCTGCATATCAGTTTTGAGCCCCTTTACCAACAAGGTAGTCACAAAATTATTATTTTTAAGAGGTATGTATATCAAACACTCTATCACTTATGCCAGTTCTGCAGTGATAAAGATACCAAACTAGACCCCTAGACAGTTTCATCTGTGGTAATGTAGTATGTTTTACTAGGTGTTGCCAGAATATGCCTTACATTGAAAATAAACACATAAGAAACAAATTCCTTATCTAAACTCAGACTGCTCTAAAAATACACATTCTTGGCTTCTGTCATGCTCATTTGGGGTCCCACACCTGGACTTTAATTTATGTATTGTAATAGCTCTGTAATTAATTTTCCTTTCAATAAGTAGTTTTTGCTTGTGTAAAAACCGAGGGGTTTATGCTGTTTGCCATTGCATATTAATCATATCTAATTTTTTAAATGAACTGTGCAATAGATAATTGTGAAGGTTAAGAGAAATGGCAAGCATCAGGACTAAAACAAAAACAGGCATTGTATAAAGTAAGTTCACTACGCAGCTTCATCAATATACCTCACTTTTTAGATGCACTTTATATGCAAAAGCTGAGTTCAAATGTCTGGCAAGATGTTAATGTTTGTGAAAGTTTTAAATCTACTGCTACTTGACATCAGCTCAAACCCGTCCTAGACTTCTCAGAATGAAAGGCCAAGATGCTACCTCCTCACGCATTGTCTTGCAATTGCAGGATACATATGAGTAAAAACCCCTAAACATTCCATTTATAAAGACTTTTTAAATGCTTTGCTTTTTATCCTTGTTTCTTACCTCTGTGTACTTCGTACTAAGCAGTCACTCAGTTCTGTTTTTTTTTGAGTCACTACCTGCATTCTCAGAATGTTTTTCTGTCTGTCTTTTGTACTCTCATGTGGCTTGTTACTCTAATAAAACTTGAGCTCTCTGTAATATGGACTGAAATAGTTTTGCTTCTGCTTTTTGTGATGATACTGATTGTTTTATTGGTTCCCAGTAGTAATTCATCACTCAGGTAATGGATCAGCTTTGTTTTTTTTTTTTTCCTTTGTGAAATAATTTCACACAAAATCCATAGTTTGCTGTAGCTTACATGTTTGCTCCAAGAACTGACACAGTAACAGGTATTGTGGATAAATTACTGTAGGCAAGAAACCTGTATGGGTAAAAGACGTTCACAGATAACTTCATTTATAACTTATAACTTTATTTATTTTATATCAATTTATTGCTTAAATATACAAATCCATGGGGATTTTTGCTTCATGTCACAGTTTAAGCCCAGCCGATAACTCAGAACAGCTGAACTCAGGACATTTCAAAAATAAGATGTGGCAGTTATTTTACTTAGGTTCACACACTGTATTTGAATACATCTTGATCTGTATTATTTATATACAGCCAGCAACATTTTGTTCAGTAACTTTCCTTTTCCAATGACCATCCAAGACACCTTAACTATAATAAATATTATTTTATTCTTAAAAAAAAAAAGGGTTAAAAAGCTTTATTTGTATAAGAAACTTGGTACTTTTCTGAAGGTTAATTCAGATGCCATCCTATGATTTCCATGTGTATGAAGGTCCACAACTTACAACCAACAGCTGTTTTAACATTAAAAACTTGGTGCTGTCCTTACACTTGCTGACAGAATGAAGCTCAAAGTTCTTACTGTGTCCAAATAGAAGTTTTCTGAAACAGTGTCCGCCTCTAAAACACATGAAAATCATCAACTGGAGAAGGAATACACTCTTCAGCACCCAGACTAACAAGTCATTGATTTAATTTCACATCTTAATGAGATCAGTTTCTTTTCCCAGAAAAGCAGATGCAGTTTCACGGCATATAAATCTTACTGTTGGGAAAGAGGTTTTTGTATTTGCCAAAAGCAGAATTGCCGATTATCACCTTCACCCTGGCTGTGCCATCTTCAGGCATCACTTCTACTTCCTGAACTGTTGCTTCCTTATAGAGCCAACTGTAACAGTAAAAGTGTATTAGCATCTTAAAGGTATAACACAGTGCATACAATGTGATCTTTATTTTAGGCCAGTATGTTGCAATCCAGGTAATGTAACACTTTAAAAGACAAAGTGCTTCACTTCTAATTTGCTACTTGCTCTTTGGAAATAGGGCACAGTGTTTTCATAAACCTTTCAGATTTGTATTTTTCTCAGCAATCTGGCTCCAGGACCAGTGGCATGGTCTTTCAGGAAGTATGTTTTATAATACCAACACACAGACCTCTGAAGGACACTTTCAGCGGCAGACTCCACAGTATCTAATGGGGATATTTTTTCTCAATAGGTCAGAAAACTTTGATAATTGTCACTGTAATTCTTAATGCAGACTGATATCAGTATTATACGATTTGGAAATTTTAAGACATGCAGGACTAACAGTTTCATATTTCTCCAAGTCCTTCTTACAATTAAAAATCATTTACCTTAGCTGAGGTCCCTCTAAGTTGACGTTAACTGTCAGAATCTTCTTCCCTGTTGCTGTCAAAATTTTTTTCTCTATTTCTTCTTTCAGCTCTTCTAAACCTTGTCCATGTAGAGCAGAAATGGCTAACACATTTTCTTCAGCGGGTTTATACCTCAAAAGTAGCCATTGCAGACATGTTTGCTCATGAAGGTTAGGTCATGAAAATATTCCAAGCATGGACCATTTAATTATGTTACTTTATACTGGTACATTCCTACACATTGTGTCTACACAAGTGATTTATTTTGTAATTAAATCATAATTCATTCTTTTTTAAGACCACAGTTAGATATGTAAAGGATTGAGAAACACTATTAAATGTATTCAAAAGTGTGGGAGCTCGTTTCTAGACCAAGAATTAAAAAGATTTCAGAACATTAGAACTGTCTAAGTACATTTAGCATCTTCTGCTTACCTTTCTATCAAATCCACTTTGTTATGAACTTCCACCATTGAGTCCAGTAAATGGCTGGGAAGATTCAGATTCTTCAGAACTGACAGCACAGTTGCTTTCTGGAGGATGGTTTCTGGATGAGTAATATCCCTCACATGAACTATAAGATCCTAGCAAGCATTAATATATAAGACAATTACTTAATAAAATACACCAGTTAGCAGGTTGTAGAGATTTTATATACCAATGTAAAACAAACCCTGTCAATCAAACTAGTTACAGAATTCAGATTTCAAATAATAACTGATCAATTTTTTCAAAGCTAAGGCTGTGTAACAATAAAGCTTAAAAAATACTGGGGAAGGAAAAGAGTGAGCTCCAAAATGGTTTTAGGGTAATGGCTGAAAAAACTGTTTCAAAATGAGGGAACACCCCCACTTAACTTGTAATTATGTTTTTACATTTAAAATGCAGAAGATTATCCTCATCCTTAGCTCCTGAGATACTATTATTGCTGCTTCACTTAGAAAGTGTTATACAAAAGTTACCAGTTTCAAGCACATACATAATCATGTTTGCTGTGATAAAAACGAAGCAACCAAATTCAGTATTTGCATTCACAGTGTTTCATCATCTTTATTCAAGATACTGCCTCAAACTTCTGAAAATCAGTGAGAATTAAATTTCATGCCTTTCATTTAACACTTCAAAATAAGAAACAAACAGGATAATTGCAGCCAGCTTTTGAAAGTCCTATTATCACATGGTGAAGTCTAATTCTCAGCAGCATTCCAGCATGTAGTTACCACTGAATTTCATTACCTTTGATGATACAGGCTTTTTGTTTAAATGTCTGTGTATGCAGACTTACACTTTGCTATAACACAGGAAACTAACTTTAATGAGAAAATGATTGGAAAAGTGTATTTATGTTTATCTCATGCTGCCTGCATCACATCACAATCACCCACTCATAGTGCTATAGGAAACCTGAAGTTAAAACCAGATCATTCCAGAGGCTTTATTTCATTTTTAACTCTTAAGAAAGCTAACCTCAAATTATTCAGATGCAGTGTCTAGGTTTCCAGATATTTAATGAGTAAAGTCTAAGTTACCTGGTTTATGCTAGTGGAGAAGGACACATATACTCCAAATAAACCCTTTCTGAAATCTCTTCATAGCTATACATTCTGCATAATTTCAAGTATGAGAAAATGGGTTTATGGTGAGATACATCATTATCTTAGGAGCCCAATACTAGTCAGCCATATGCTTCACTAAGAGCAGTATTCCAATTAACTTCTTTTTTTGAAGGAGTGAGGATTATCCAAAAGGAAATTGACTTCTCAATTCTTATAGTCAACTACTTACTGAGTAAACCACTTCTTCTAAGGTAGCTGAAAAGGACTCAACCAGATTATGTGGGAGATCAGTCAGAAATCCAATGGTGTCAACATAAATAACTGCCATATGTGAGGGCAGATAGCCAGCATGGGCTGTAATATCAAGAGTGGCAAACAGCTGATCTCTGGGCTGAATTCCTGCTTCCCCAGTCAAGGCTTTGATCAAAGTAGTTTTTCCTAATTAAAGGAAAAAAGACGAGATTTTGGTGGCTTGTTTCAAGTAAAAATTTAATTTGCAAGGCTCAGGTGAGTTGTACGATGTAACACATTTTTTCAGATCTATTTAATTTAAATCTAGGCTATGCTTCCCTGGAGATGTTCAGGAGTTATCTGGACACAAACCCGAGTAATGTGCTCTAGGTGACCCTGCTTGAACAGTTAGGGTGGAGATGATCCCTAGTGGTCCCTTCCAACCCCAACTATTCTGTGATTCTGTGATTAGTTATCTATATGATGTTAGGAAATCCAAAGACAGTCTTAACTTTTGAAAACTGGAATTGGATTTAAAGCCACAGCTGGAAGCTATGCTGCAAAACTGCAAGATGATCAAATACTGAACTGACCTGCAAAGTGACCTACCCACATCCCTCACCTCTCAGACTATCTGAAGAGCACTGCCATGACAGCATTAGAAAGCATACTTACACACTCCTCAGTGCTTCTGTTGTCAAACAATTCAATATTTACTTGTTAAAACCAACAGTAAACAGAAGCACTAATAATACATAGCTTACTAGGTTGACGCTTTCATTACGCATTTCCTCATGAACTTATCACTAAAGACATTCATTTAACTCAATGAATATTTCACGGAATTTAGTCATTAAAGAGCTCAGTACATACCCTGGCTGAAGTATTTAAATTATGTGTACAATACTGCAAAATATGTATATTTGATTTTTCAGCTTTAAAAGTATGGAAGGGGTAATGGGTTCAAACTAAAACAGGGGAAGTTCAGGTTAGATATAAGGAAGAAGTCTTTACTGTGAGGGTGGTGAGGCTCTGGAACAGATTGTCCAAAAAAGCGGTGAATGCTCCATCCCTGGCAGTGTTCAAGGCCAGGTTGGACGCCGCCTTGGGTGACACAGTCTAGTGTTAGGCGTTCCTGCCCATGGCAGTGGGGGGTGTTGGAATTAGATAATCATAAGGTCCTTTCCAACCCAAACCATTCTATGATTCCGTAACATAAAAATTAGTACAAGGTAAGTTTTTATAAAGATGTTGAATAAGAAAATGAAATGGGTCTTAAGATAATGTAACCTGAAAAAGTATCTAGTCCAAAGGCTATTTATGCCTTGTGTATGAAAAACTTCAGCTTGATTTAGATTCTCTTATGAGAACATCTCAGAACACTATACATCAATCAATGAAAAGCTACAGTGCTTCTTAAGCATATTTCCACATCAGCTGCCACATCTCCTGAGTTTTCCTCCTGTGCCTCAAGCCTTCACAGTGATCCAAATATCAACATACTTTTCTCTCACCCATTCTGATCAAGTAATAGAGATTCATACATAGGGACACTAACAGTATAGTCTTCAGCACTGTATGCAAAATCTTTTTGGCACAACAGGTACTAGGCATTTCTCCAAAACATATCTTCAAGACCAAAAAACCAAAAGAACTAACTACAAGCAGCATAATTTGCTTTCCTAACTATACCTTAATTGACACATACTCATTACACAGTTTAAAAACTAATTAAAATAAGAAGCCTATTCACACTGAAATGAGATTCTGGCTAGAGATTCTAATTAAAAAGTAGACAATGTAAGCTCTTTCGCGCTACAGTTTCATGAGTTTTTGCTTACCACAATTAGTATAACCCATTACTGAGATAATCGGAAACTCGCGTTTTTTGCGTTGAGTTCTAAGTAATGACCTTTTCCTCCTTAGTTTCTCCAGGGCATTCCTAATTTTAAGTTCTTTTTCTTTCAAGATACGATATTGTGTCTCCATAAATGTTTCACCTGAAATATACAAATGAATAATTGGCAGAATATTCTACAAGAGAAACAGTAAACCAAGTGATGTTGCGCATTTGGAAATCAGCGACTTAGTGCTAGGGCAGCTGAAGCTATAAACAAACAACTAAACTACCTATTTTTGCCTAAGAGTCAGTTACAACTAATTATTAAAATATGCACTAAGCAGTCTAGAATAACCATGTACACTTATGATAAACCCCTGTGGCAGCAAACGGTCTGTCCATGGCCACTTACTGAGCCAGAACAGACCAAACTTCATTATTTAAGCTATTTTCCAATACATTTTTGTATGTTCACTTAATTAGATGCAGAACACAGTTTTTTCTCCTGGCCTCCTCCAAATAAATAAGACGCAATTAATATTGTTCAAAGGCTATGGAGAAAATAAATCCTCTAATTCATGAGAATTTACCTGAGCCCATGATGTATCTTGATCCACCTCTCTGCTGATCTAGCTGAGACACCTCATTTTTCAGATTTGACCTGGCAGTGGAGTGACAGTTAATTAGGAGCAATTTTCTTTAATCAAGCTATCCTAAAATGCCTAACAAATGTGAAGCAGTAGTGATATTCTAATAGCACAAACAAAACCGCTAAATGACAGAGCTTTAAATAAAACCTGGTCATGGTGAGAAGCATGGCAACAGATTTCCACATTTTCCTAGCTTCTCAATGTGGTTTGAAAAAGCGTGCAACTCTTTTAGCAAGTTATAATGGCTATTCTGAAATTTCAGAGAGCCAAAGATGGTCCTGATGCATCCATGCAACTCACACCAACTGCCATGTACAAACGTCTATACCATATATGACACAAATGGTGTCATTTTTCTTCATAGTATAGTACTATAAGTTTTGTTGCTGTAAAGAAATAGTCACTAAACTATGTGAATATCAGTACGTGATTTGCACAGCTCAAGGTACCTGAGAAGTGGAATTTCAGCCAGTGCTATCTGAAGTTTTGCTTCTTTGGTCCGGGCATTACAACGAAAAATGTGAAGTACAACCGTGTATCTGTCAAAGACTTTCACACCCCAGGCATCTTCTAGTTCTTTCTTTAGCCATGTAAGACAAAATAACCTAGATGTTTTCTGTCCCCCACACAATCTGTAGATCAATTCCTACATAGCACTACAGTTACAGTTAGCTGATGGACACTTGACCTTAGAGGATTTCAGGACACTTGAACTTAAGAGGATTCCATTTCAGTGGATGGGCAATGATTATGAGCACACAAAGGCAAAACTGGTTGACCATGAAGAAAGGTGTTAAAGAAAGTTTAGAGGGCAGAACTTTATGTCTATACCTATTAAGAATCCTTCCACTGCCTTTGACAGATTCTGACAACAGCCCTTAACAGCATTATCTCAGAATCAAGAATCTCAGTGGTTAAGTCCTTGTAAAAAAATAATTATGAAATGCTGTGATGGGAAATGATAGGGATAATAGAGGAAAAAGAAAAAAAAATACCAAAATAAAACAAACAAATTATAGACAGCAAGGCAAAAAAACTATTTCCTAAGCAGCTTTTAACAAAATACTTGAAAAACCCCAATCAACGAACCAAAACCCAAACAACCCTCCCCACCTTTGTTCTAATTCAGCAAAAGACACTTAAAGTATGCAATAGGTCCCCTCTGCTCTCTCTAAAATCCAGAATGCTTGTTTCACACATGTTCTCAAGCGCTTTCTTGAATTAACCCTATCAAATTGCTCTTAAGGTTCAGATCTGTACAAGAAAAACTTTTTAGCAAATGCAGAACTGTAAGAACACATACTATAAATTAGGGAATATCAACTAGAAAATTGAAATGAAACATTTTCAACTTACATTTTATCAATACAGTGCTTAAAATAACTTTATTAGAGATATTTACCATCTCTGTTCATTTTATAATCAGAGAAAGCGTTCAAAACTACCAGCAAAGCATTATGTTTGCTTATGGATTTTGCATGCATTTTACACCCTGTATGATGCTGTATACACAAAAAAACCTAAAAAGCATGTATTTCAGTTTGTCTAAGCATTTCAAAGAGCATCTATAGTTTGTGTACCAGTTGTTTTACTCCTAGTGTTCAAAAAAGTGAATCATGCTCCTTTCCCCATCCATTTAAAATATGGTTTCTATTTAAGGGTTAGGAATTAAAGTTTCAGTATTTGAAACATTTAAATACAAGCTTGCTCTGAATTTACACCTCGTATTAAAAATACAGTACAGTGTCCACAGAACTATGGGAAAATAAAGACACTATCCATGTAAGTATAAAAACTTCTGCATATAGCTAATCCAAAATGTTGACATTCTTCATAACAAAAGCTAGGCTGTCACCTTTAATTTGTGAAAAAAAGACCCTAAGTAACTTTTTCAACATTTTCAGTGGGGTCAGTGGTAAATGCAGGAGCATGGCTATTAGATTGCTCGAAAATTTCATGCACAAGAGCTGGAAATACATAAATATCTACCAGACAAATGTAAAAGGAATTAAGTTTCCTTTCAACAAAACTCCAGGTGTGTCCAGGTGGCCACATATATTACCACTTGCGAATTCAGTGTCATAACTGACCCTACTTCTTGTAAAATCAAGAGCTTCTGAACAATAGTGATTCAAAGAAACTTATTTTATACTCTATTTAATTACCTTTGTTAGTGAAGATATTCTTTCCACATTCAAGAAGACAGCTGTCACTTGGGGCAATTTTTTAATCTTTTCTAAAAGATGGATAACCATTGCAAAATACAGTGTTAAATGTCAATTCTCTTTTTAAAATTCACAGAATATAAAACCATTTTGCACAGAGCAGAATGCTCATAAAATATTCAAATGGCATCATGTTCTTTGCTCACAGAACAGTTGTAATTGCACGAGTTTAGTACTATGTCAAGAACAGACGCCAGTTTCACTTGTGTCAGTCACATGAATGTAGGGATTAAGTTGACTCACACATTTTCAGTGATCTCAGATTAATTGTACTCTGTGCTGCTTTGTAACCTTAAGAAAATTCTTTGATGCTTGTTTGCAAACCTGCACGATGGATGAACAACATTCTCTCTTCAGCTTTCTTACATATCTTTAAACAGTTCAACTGCAGAAACCTTCCATTTAGAATGCTGCAGGACTGAAAAATCTCCCTCCTTACCTGTTAAAACCTGGAAGTTTCCTTTGCCAAAAATTAATTTCTTGTCAGGATTTTTTGTAGGAATAACTATTTTATCTAAAACTGTCCAGTTCTGAAGGGTATCTACAAGAGCAACGGCTTCAGCAACCTGTAATTCAGCTTTAGGAATACAAAAAAGAAAAAAAAAAGATTGCAATATACCATTATAACTTCGCCCAGATTTCCAATAACTATAGTACATGCATGAAAAGGGAAACAGTAAGCTACACTAAAATTCTACGAGGCTATTTATATCAACCTATTGCATAAGGAGCAAAATGTCTTGCCTCTAATCAGAGTAATTTACTTCTACTTTGATGCAATTTTATCACACAAAGCATCTTTCTACCAGTACAAATTATTTCCATGGTTGTTGATCTAGAGGAATTTTTAACTGTATTGTCAGCAAAGAAATTATCAAGCTTTTTGCCTTAACAAGTGAAATAACTAACTAGCTGGAAAATAAATTATGTTATTTCAGATGAGCACAAACCTGTGTGATTAATTCCTTTGTGTATTGTGGCAATATTTAAAGAATTACTAATATGACATATCCTACTGCTACTTTTTCATAAAGGACTTACACTGATTTATGACTTGATAAAACCAGCAGATTCCGATCCTGTATTCTGGTTCATCAGTCACTTTAAAAAAACCACAACTACATGGCAAAGCACTGACTTCTGAGGACTTTGTGAAATGACAAACACTACATGGGCATATCCTGGTAGATAATAGTTGTCCATGAGCCAGCAATGTGCCCTTGTGGCCAAGAAGGCCAGTAGTATCTTGGGGTGCATTAGCAAGAGGATTGCCAGCAGGTTGAAGGAGGTCATCCTCCCCCTCTACTCTGCTGTGGTGAGGCCTCACTTGGTATACTGTGTCCAATTCTGGCTCCCCAGCAAAAGAGAGACATGAAGCTCCTGAAGCAAGTCCAGTGAAGTGCTACTATGATTATTAAGGGTCTGGAGCATCTTTCATATGAGGAAAGGCAGAGAGAGCTGGGCCTGTTCATCCTAGAGAAGAGAATGCTCAGGGGTGATCTGATCAATGTGTATAAGTATCTGAAGGGAGGGCTTCAAGAGGATGAAGCCAGACTCAGTGGTGCCAGGCAATAAGATGAGAGGCAGGGGCATAAACTGAAACAAAAGAAATTCCACCTGAACACAAGGAAAAACTTTACTGTGAGGGTGACTGAGCACTGGAATAAATTGCATAGAGACATTGTTCAGTCTCCTTCCCATGAGATTCAAGACCCAATCCTGAGCAATGTGTTCTAGTTGACCTTGCCTGAGCAGGGAGGTTGCGCTAGATGACCTCTGGTGGTCCTTTCCAGCCTCAACCATTCTGTGGTATCAGATCAGAATATCCAGTTTTGATTTCCCCCACTTTTCCTCCTTTCATAACAGATTTTCCAATTTCTTCTACATCTCAAAGCCAAATTTATATATCAAATGTTACCCTGGTCAAAAAGGTAATACATTTTTAAAGATAACCACAATCCTCTTCCTCCTCATATTGTTAGTGGTCCTTGTAAGATTTCCTGTTGTACCTGTGGTGTTTCAACAATCAGTCCAAACCATTTGTTCAGAATTCAGGCTCTTCATCTGGAGGGCGTAAATAAATGGAAACGGATCACTGCCATTCTTCTGCATGTCTGGACAGAAAGGTGCCTTCATATTTTATTTATTTTTCAGTTGTAAAATGGGACTGCTTATGTAAATTTTGAAAAGGTTACAACCTTTTTCTGCAACATAACAATTTGTTATAATAAGCAGTACTAAAAAAACCTAAATGAGATTTAGGTTCATCACAAAATCAGAGTACAAGAGGAATCATATATAAACTGTCTATATACAAAAAGCTAACTTATGAGATGCTTAATCCTTTCCAACTTTGTAATCAGAGAAACATTTCAAGGAATATCAAGTTAATAATATATCTTAATTGTGCATGATTAATACCTATATATTAGACAGCTACAAGGATTTAGATGCACCCCAGGAAAACCTACTTTCTGCAGGTCTGGGCTGTTTTGCTGAGGATGTTGCTCTAACACACTTCACTTGACAGCTTTATATTTAGATAATTTCCATTAAGTGGTCAAGGCCAGGTTGGATGGGGCTTTGAGGAACTTCTTCTGTCCATGGCAGAGGGGCTGGAACTAGATGATCTCTAAGGTGCCTTCCAACCCAAGCCATATGATGATGCCAGGAGAGTATTCTTGCTTTTCACCCAACTCCTGTGTAAGCCTAAGAGTGCAGGACTCCTGAAGGCTATTAACGTTCTGCTAAGAAGGGTGAAACACTTCTATTTCCTTAAGCAACCTTAAAGCTCCATACACAGAGTCGTTCTGCTCTCCAAGCCCCAAAGCCATGGTGATCCAAAAGTCAAAGCACAGATCTGCTAACACTCACTGACAGCACATTGTCTCTTAAAAGGTTATCAGAGATCAGCCACAAAGACTTTATCAGAGCCTGTATTTCGCTAGCTGTCCCAGACAGCATTTCTATTTTACCACTCCAGTAACGGATCTACTTTACGCTAATGGCACTCACTCCCTACAAGTACTCCTGCGGGCCATAGAGACCTAGAACGGGAGAAAACCGAGAAGTGGCGCGGCTGGCTGGCAGGACCCACTGTCGGGTGACCGTCCGAAGCCTCCCCATACCCCAGCCCCGGCGCGGCCACGCACCAGTGGTGAGCGGCGATTTCTTTGGGCCCCACTTGACCGCCGGGTGCACCACGACCACGCGCTGCACGCCGGGCTCCACGGCCAGAGGAGAGGGGCCCAGCAGCTCCTCCAGCTCCGCCGCCTCCTCCTCCTCCTCCTCCTCCTCCTCCTCCTCTTCTTCTTCTTCTTCTTCTTCATCCCCGCCGGCGCTCGCCGCTCCGTTCCACCGCCCTCCGCCGCCCGCCCGTGGTGGTTCACTCCTGCCCGGCGGCCGCTGGGGAGCCCGCAGGCCAGAGGCGGCGCTGAGCGGGCGGGCGGACAGCAGCCCGCCATGGCAGCGGGCCGCGCCGAGAGCCGCCACCAGGAGCCGGCAGCGCGCAAGGAACGACTGCGAGATGCGGCCAGGCCCCATAATCACCCCTCCTCCGGTCAAAACAGCTGCAGACACCACCACAACCCTGTCCATCCAACCCTCGCCCCGGCCACTACGGAAGCCCGACGGCATTAACGCGCCCCGAATGGGCGGTATCGAGCCACGTGACAGCGGCCCACGCCTCTGATAGGCCGGGCGGCGCGGAGGGATGGGCCGTGATTGACGCGGGTCTGCAGACGGGCTCAGGCCGCCGCAGTAAGGGGTGGGAGAGTGGCCAGCCAAGGGGCGGTGTGGGCGCGTACCCCGGCCTGCGGAGCGCGGCCACGGCGCAGGTGAGTGACAGGCCCCGGGTTTGACGCACCGCGTTTCATACTTCTCTGGCACGACCCGGGGTCTCGGGTCTCGGGCTTCCCGCGCCGAGCCGCCGCCCGTTGCGTCCCATCACGGCGACGGTGTTGTTCCTGAGGCAGCCCTGCCTGTGCGGGGTGCGGGCCGCCGGCGTTGCGGGGTCTGCCCCGGGAGAGGAGGGTTCAGCTGGCCGTATGGCCGTGGGAACTTAAGGCTCTCTCACGGGCGGCGGCTTTGTAGCGCTGCCGCCTCAGGGCTCCTGAGGTGCCATCTGCGAATTCGCCTGCCTGAAGTAATGTGTTTCTCGGAGTCGCATCCCTTTCTGCGGACTGGTTTTGCGGGGGCCTTTCCGACTTGGTTTTGAGGGAGCTGCCTGGAACTGTTGCAGTGTGTCCAGAGGAGTCGACAAGGATGATCAGAGGGCTGGAGCACTTCTATGAAGAGAGGCTTGAGAGAGCTGGGCTTGTTCAGCCTGGAGAAGGTCTTTGGAGAGACCTTATAGCAGCCTTCCGGTACCTAAAGGGGGCCTACAGGAAAGCCGGAGAAGAGCTTTTTACAAGGGCATGTAAGGATAGGACAAGAGGGTAATAACTTTAAACTGAAAGAGTTACATTTAGATTAGATATTAGGAAGAAGTCCTTTACTATGAGAGTGGTGAGGCACTGGCACAGGTTGCCCAGAGAAGGTGTGGCTGCCCCATCCCTGGCAGTGTTCAAGGCCAGGCTGGAGTGGGCTTTGAGCAACCTGGTCTAGTGGAAGGTGTTCCTGCCTGTGGCAGGAGGGTTGTAACTGGTCCCTTCCAACCCAAACCATTCTATGGTTCTATGAATTAATTCTCTTTCTTTTTTTTTTCCTCTTTTCTTGACAGTTTTTGGCTGCTGTTTCACCCGCAAGAAGTAGAGCCTTGATAAGTTTTTAGCACTACTGATCTTGGTGAATTGCCTCAAAAGAAGTGCTGCTCTTGTTAGCTTGCTGCCTATACTGCTGAAATAATGTAGCGGAAATGATAGCCGAGCCCAACACAGCCAATAACCTTCCCAGCCAAAAGTAAGACCTGTCAGAGGTTGCCTGTAGAATTTATTGGTAAATTAAGGTGCTGTCCCTTGAATTTGTGCCCCACAGATACTGGGCAGTCTATCATGTGTTGTTTTGGTGGGAGGGGGAAAAAGCAGGGATTTGCTATGCACTATGTCTTGTTACTAATTTCTCCACTTTATTCCCTTTATGTATTGTTTAGCCTCTTCTTAATGTAGTGCTTTATGCAGGAACCTTGGCCTTGCAAGCTTTTCTGTGCCTTATTCTGTGCACCCCTGTGGCAGGGGGGTTGGAACCAGGTGGTCTTTAAGGTCTCTTCCAACCCAAACCATTCTATGATTCTGTGATTATTCACCACAGTGGAAATAAACCTACTTTGAGGAAAAAAAAAAAAGGGCAGATTGATAGTCAACACATGTTCACTTCAGCTGTGGATTTGGGGATACTGAGCAGGAAGACTGCTAAGTAATCTGTAATCTGCCTGTTGGCACTGAAGAGGGAATTGCTTCTCTTTTTTTTTTTTTTTAATTAGGATATGTCATGTCTTCTTCCTTTCATAATGTATTTCTCCAGTCATCAGTTGAGGTGATCTATGAACCAAATATATTCATATCATTGTCTGCAAAGTGGTATTTAGAAGTTCTACTAGAGCAGATACAAATAGATAAAAGGTAAAGCTAAAGCATTTGGACATATCTTGTCTAGTTTCAAAGGGTGAAGCTGCTTAGGAGTCCAGTGCTGCATGCATTCATTGCAGCCCAATCTTTGCTGATCCTGCCACCTTCTGAGGATGTCTGCTCTAGGTCTTTTGCTTCATTAAGCTCTAACAAAGGGTGAGAGGTGTATTCCTCATATTCCATGATAACAATTAATATAGCTTCCCATATGTCCTTTCCAGTATGTTTCATCTGAAGCCAGCCTCTTACTTGTGAAAGTGTCAGAAGGGCATCTGGCAATTGCTTACCTGAGTTTCTTATGTTGCTTCTAAAAGATGAAACAGCTGTGTTGAAATTTCTAATTTTAAAAGTCTATGTAGGATTCTTCCAGTAACATAGGTTAATTGTTCCTTTTATGCAGCTAAAGCAATGTTATCTTTGTTAAATAGGTAGCTTTCTTTTTAAGGGTGAGTCACTAAATCTGCTCCAAATGTTTATTGAAATGAGAAAACTGAATTCAGAAATTCTTGGAACAGTATTGTGTTTGAGGACTAGATGAAGGACTTCGCCTCCTTCCAACTTCAAGATTTTTTATCTCATCACTAGTACTTCCAGTGCTAGTGAAAGGACTGTATTGTGGCAGGCGTATGAGATCAAAATGAGTCAGAGCCATACAGGGTATAAAAGCGAAAATTAGGCTAAGATAGGAATGCCTGTGCTTTCCTACTGATTGCTGATGGAAACAAAGTGAATAGCAGGGAATTGTTTCTTACCAGCATGAGGCAGTGAATTTAGGTATACAAAAGTGCTCGGTATGGTATAGACTAGCAGAGGAGAGCAAAAAACCCACTAGTTCAAAATTTGTCAAACCTACAGTTGCACTCCTATAGTTGAAAAGATATTAAATAGAGAGATGTATAAGAACTGCTGCAGAATTGATCACGTCATCCTCAACTAGATCCAATGGTTCCTACTTTGCTCAAGAAGGTTAGAGGACATCTTAATTCTTTTAACAGTTTCTTCAACAGAAACTTAGTTGTGCAAATAAAAACTCAACCAAAACATCTCTGTTGATCTCTAAGTGGTTTCATGAAGTTTGGTTTCTAGGCTCTGGTCTAGTTCCTGCGAATGTTTAAGTACCTGCCTTATGAACAGTCTTACTGGAAACACCAGTATTAAAAGGGAAAAAAGAGAAAGGAAAAACATGAGTGTTGATAATGCCTGTATTTTAAAAATCTCGACTTCTGTGTAGATTGTCTGTTGTAGCATGGTGCTTCCTATGGCGTTGCTATGTGCTGTGGTGCACTGATAACCAAAGCAGTTCAGAAAAGTAAATGGCTTTTTAATATTAGTATTTAGTGCTTTTTGCATTTGTTGAGTGTTTTAAGACAGATGCCTTAGTGCATGTGTGAAAGTTACTCTAACTGGTTTCATCACAGAGATGTTGCTTTACTTGGCGTTGTTAGCCCAATGTGAGGAAGTTATCGATCATCTGCTTTCTTATTCTTGCAGGCTTTGCTGAGCTTTGTTAAGCATATACCAGGCATTCCCTTACTTTGTGGAGCCCCTTTTGCTACAGGTACATTTTGCCTGGCATAAGCTGACTAAATAGCACAGGGCAAGTAGATACCATCTGTAGCGCCATCCTTCAAGATGTTCTTGGGAAAAGACACATGAGTTAAAACTTCAGAGAAGTATATTCTAGACAGATACTAGAAGTCGTGCATGATTAGACAAGTACTTGACTGAACTGTCCTGCAGCAGTGATGATTTTTTAGTTATTTGTTTTAATTCATCTTGGAATCAAATATAGTTGCTGTAATCAAATACAAGGCATTTATTTTTATGATGGGGTGGAGCAAGTTGCTAAATAGTGCATGCAAACAAATCAGGAAAAGTTTTTGAGAGTGTGTTGAGCGTTATGTTTAGGTATAATGCAGCAACAGGTAGCACATGTTATCATGATGTTGGCTGGCATCAGACTTGTAGTTCTAGTGAAATGATGCGAGTCAGAACATGTTAGTCCAGCCCCATAATGTAGCATACTGCTTTGAAATCAAGAGTGGAAGGATTTAACTACCTAGGATAAGTAGCTCCTTGATGAACATGTTTGGGTTCTTTTTGTTGATTTGTGGTCTGTAGAAGGATCTGGGAAGAGCTGACTGGCATCAGAAAAGCAGTACATGTTGCTGTCTCTTGCTGCTTTTCTTTTCAACTAGGAAGTCTCTGGTGGTGCTTGAGACACTTAATCTCTGTGACTTGCAATTGCAAATCAAAGAAAACATTTGAAAACTTTTGCAAACTATTGCTGACTCACTTGTGAACTATATAGCTCATCCCTCTCTTTTCTGTGACATGAGTATTGGTAGGATGAACTGATGTAGTGATTGGTTTGCCTTGAATATGTTTCTTGGCTTCCATCTGTCAAGCACTGAGGCATATTCTGAACTTCTCTATAACAAGACATTAATTGAATTTAACTTTCATGGGACTTTTCTCTGTAGGGAAGTTAAGCATTTGCATCATTGTATTTAGAATGTTGATATATTTAGAGTTTTATATTTATATAGAATTTTTATAGGAGTCTTTGGAGACCTAATTCTACATCGCTTATGGTAAAGTGTGCCAATAGATTAAAAAAGTAAATGGAGATTTGTTAACTATGAACTTCTGTCTGCTCACACTAATAAAATAACATCAGGACCTTGGTCCTGCAGTTGATGCTATTCAGCCTCGGGATTTGCTTTACAGAGGCAATGTCTGACTGAAACAGTCTTGGGAAGACAGCAATAGTGGTTATCTGGCACTGATAAACCTAGCTGGAGTTGAGCTGGTTTTGCCTCCACAGCACAGTTAATTCTCCGTCTGGGTTAGCCAACAGTAGATATTGGAGAGTTGACTGTGTCTTACAGTGTAATACACTGTTTTATAATTTGTAAAGTGATCATTTGTGTTAGCACACTTTCTTGTTGCAGCAGTATCACAAAATGAAAGTAACTGTACACTCTTATATTTACTCTTTTTT